CGCTCTTTGAAATACGACGGTGATGGTGTCGCGTATTTTCCTGAATCAGGAGAGAGACGATGATTATTATCGCCGTTATAATTTTAATTCGGTTGGGATTTATCGCTTGTGCTAGCCGCGGACGGACGGGGATTTATTATTATCAGACGATATTATCGCGTGTGCGCGCGCGATTTACACGCTCGTATACGCGCGCACGGTGTACGGTAGCTCTCTTTCTCTCTCTCTCTCTCTCTCTCTCTCTCTCTATGTATGTGTGTATCCGGTCTCATATTTATAAAATCGAAATGTCGTACCACCGCCTCGTCGACACGCTCGCTCCTGCCACGTGGTACCGCGATTAATAGCCCGCGCGTTTATGACGAGGCCGGGCGTTGTCGTTCGCGGGCGCGCGATGGAAATAAAATAAAAAAAAAAAAAGGGACGAGAGAGAACGGGCGGGAATGAATAACGGATCCGACGATGCGAAAGAGCAAAATAACGCGGGCGCGCTGGGGATTTATCGGGGTGTTACATTAACGGGCGCCGAACAGCCCGGTAAGTGTCCGCGCATCGAGCAAACGCGTCCGTTCTCTCTCTTCCACCCGCCTGGAGGGGGTTATTAACGTCGCTAATTCTCGGCAATTACTGTCATCATCGTCAGCCATCCGACCGCAACCGAGCTGTTACGTTTTCCTGTTACACCTGTACGATAATCATTGTCAGCCGGAATCACACGATTGCCGGATAGTTTATGGATATGCGTGTATATCGCACATCTATGTTCATCGGCTAAGTTTTTCGATCGGTTGTAATGCGATTACTAAAAGATTGGTCTTATATATCGGGGAAAAGATTCTTATGTAATCTACAAAACAAATGTCAAAAGAAAATCGTCTACTTTGAAATTGATCGATCGATCGAGAGAGAGAGAGTGTAATATTGGACATTATAAATATCGACTGATGATCGCTGAAAAATTGATATCAAGAATATTTAGTGACGGAAAAAACAAATATCGATGCCTTAACCATATCGTTCTTTTTATCGTTTTTTTCCCCGCATCGATGGAGAATCGAAAATGTCGCGTCATACGATGGGTATCGTTTGATTTTGACCCGCTTCGTCGTATGTCATCGGCCGATGATGATGACCACGCGGTCGCGCTTTGTTGCGCTGGATGGCGATCACGCGCGCCCCACGTTTTTATTTGCAGGAAGCGATGCGTATTGTAAACGCTTTCAGGCATTACTCTCGATTTTACTAACGCTATTACCGGCGATTCCGCAGCTGCAGTACGTGTCGGGGCAGTTGGAAAATTCACGCATGAAAAGTACGGGCGGCCACCACGAGTGATTCGATTTCGTTGTTTTGTTCGATTCGCTGGTTCACGTCCCTCACCCTCCCATTTCTGCCCGCCTTTCCCTTCCTCCACCGCGCTCGTTCTCCACCCCCCCACTATCCCCCTCGGCGCTTGTCCCCCACGGTTGTCTCTCCATATCCATCCCATATACAGTGCGCTCATTATTCATTTATCGGTTTAACGAGCATGTCCGCGATAAAGCGTCGCGAAATATCGATATCGGATGGTCAATACCCGTTCGGCTCGCGGTCCCTTGTTGGCGCGTGCTCCATCTTTCACTCGGAAAAAAAATCGACCAATCACAATTTCGCGCGATGTATCCGAAACGAATTTTCGACTCGTCATCGACATGAACGATATGGAATATAAGCAATGAAGTGTCAAGGAAATCGTCGAACGATTTCGAGATTGGTCGAATAAACGAGTCTGTAAAACCCGTACGATTCGATATTTTTTATCGAGAGCGCTGAGCGGTCGCGTCTGGATAGAAAAGAAAAAAAAAAATACGCGACGCTCGAGGAATCTCGTCGGGCGCTTCATGAATAACTTCTCAAAAGCGTCCGATATCCCGTCATCCCTTATTCGTGAGAGAGAAAGAGAGAGAAAAAAAGGAGAGGGGCAAAGAGAACGAGAGAGAGAGAGAGAGAGAGAGAGAGAGAGAGAGAGAGAGAGAGAGAGAGAGAGAGAAACTGCGCGAAATGTGTGCGCAGCCGCTGCGACCATTTTAAGTATTCTGTTTTAAGTGTTTTTTTTCTTATTTGCTCTGTTCATGTAGTCATGAGAGTTAGAACGCAACCGCTTTATTTACACGTGTTTTCAACATCATTATAAAATTTACTCCGTACTCTCTCAGTTTGTTCAATAATAATCCTGTTCTCTTATACTTCGTTAACAAGTTTTACAATAAAACTCGGTGCATGAAACTCCAACAATGAAACGCGGGTCGTCCTATTAAGTCCCCGTGCATGATCGTCATTTTCATAACGGACGAATGACGCAGAAAATTCTTAAAATCATATTGCGTTCACGTATTTACCAGTTAACTGGCTGAGTGTCTCGTTTTAAAACAGCGTCTAGTCCGAAGCCAGAGAGGAGAAGACGAAAGAACGCCATCCTTGCTAGAACGATTTCGAGGAGAACAAAGGTGAAAAACAACACGATCGTTTGTATATGCGAATTGGAAACTAAACATTGGTCATAAAATTGGAGAGAAAAAAAGGAGAGGGGCAAAGAGAACGAGAGAGAGAGAGAGAGAGAGAGAGAGAGAGAAAGAGAGTAACTGCGCGAAATGTGTGCGCAGCCGCCGCTTTTTTTCCCGTTTTTATTGTGTCTGCAGTGCCACTGGTTTGATCGGTCGGGCCGCGCCAGGTGGAGGCGGAGGAGCAGATGGTGATTGAGAGGAA